GACTTTATAAGACAGGAGAAAATTAACTGAGAGTAAGCAAGCAGGCCTTGAACTCAAGATCCGCCTGCCTCTGCCTCCCAAGTGCTGGGATTAAAGGTGCGTGCCACCACACCTTGCACCTCTCTCTGCTCTTAACTGTGGATGTGATCTGACCAGCTGCTTTGAGATCCTTCCTCAATATCCCCCCAGTGATGGACTACAGCCTGGAACTGTGAGCCAAATAAACCCTTCCTCCCCTCAGGTGCTCTTTGGTTGGGTACATGTCACCGCAACAGAAAGGAAACTAGAACATGTATCAACTCAAAACCTCTGAAGAATTTTTGTTTTTACTGTTGTTGTTTTGAGGCAGGGTCTCCCTGTAGCCCCAACTGACTTGGAACTCACTATGTGCACCAGGCTGGCCTCAATCTCACAGAGAGCCACCCGCCTTTGCCTCCCAAGTGCTGGAAATAAAGGCATGCGCCACCACACCCAGGCGAGAATTTCTTAAAATAAAACTAAATTAGAGTAAGATTCCTGTCTGTGAAATAACCATTGCATTAATCTATGTAAAAGAATACTTCCTGCCCAACTATCAAGTCATTCAGTGTTCTGTGTGCATGCGCGTGCACATGTGTGTGTGCGTGCGTGAGTGTGCATATGTATCACCCTGTCTTGGTGACACCCAGTAATCTTTTCACACCACCCACAATGGACTCTGACAGTCTGTCAATCATCTCTCCAATGACATTCACTTACTTGCATGTGGTTTGCAGAAAATAAGCAAAATTTACTCTTGAAAATATCCATTTAGTCTGGCGTGGTGGAGCATGCATTTAATCCCAGCACTAGGGAGGCAGAGGTAGGCAGATCTCTGTGAGCTCGAGGCCAGACTCGTCTACATAGCAAACTTTAGGCTAGCTGTGGCTACAGGGAGAGCCTGTCTCAAGAAAGAAAAGGAGAAGAGGAGGAGGGGAGAGTTTTTAATACACAGTGTCACAAAAAAGATAGTTGACCAAACTGAAAAAAAAAAAAAAAGGGAATTAAGGAATTTTCGTGTATTTGGTCATCTAGCTCAAAAAGAAGTAGAAATTTTTGGAACCAGTTTTCCAGTGCTACATAAATGACCTACGTAAAGTTTAAACAAATTTCTAAATATAAAAACGTATAACTTTTCTGTTGGGGGCTTCAGCAGGGCGTTGCTTTGCTTTTAAGACAAGGTCTCACTATGTGACCCAGGGGGCAAAGAACATGACCTCACAGCTGACAGGAAGCAGAGAGATGGCAGACAGAAGAGGCCAGGCAAGACACAGCCCCCAGGATGTGCCAGTTGTGGCCTACTTCCTCCAAGTGGGCCCCATAGGCTACATCTCACCACCTCCCAACAATGTACAAATCCATCAAGAATCCTTTAGGTTAGGTCAGAGTCACAGAGTCCTAACCATTCCTGGGAAGTCCTCACCCCACCAGCCAGTGGCTACACTTTAGTCTCCACTTTCTCTGGGAGACTCTCCATTCAATCAAGTTGGCAATCAAGATATAACCAACAGGGGCTCCCAGCACCCACATGGTGGCTCACAACTCCAGCTCTAGGCAGCCTTTAACTCCAGCTCTAGGCAGCAAGCACTCTGAACCACTGATCTATCTGTTCAGCCCCTATTATTTGTTTCTGGTAGCCAAGAACATGCAATACAGGTAATTATACTGATCTTTTCTTTTTAAATACAAGCTTCAAGAACATCAGTGTTACCCCTTAAACAGAAGAGGACTAAGTACTTCAGCCAGCTGCTGGAACGCAACTTTCTCGTAACTACACTTGGCAAATATACCCAGTCACACTGCTGATAATGCCCACTGCTAAAGACGGACGGAGCTGTCCTGTGTAAAATGAAGCACTCTACTTTTTAACAATGATTTTATTTATTTGTGGATGAACATGTGTGAGTGCATGTGAAGGTGCCTGTACCATGGAACACACATGGAGGTCAGGAGACAACTTGAGGGAGTCAGTTTTCTCCTTCCACCATGGGGGTTCTGGGGATCAAACTCAGGTCATCAGGCTTTGCAATAAGCTCCTTTACCTGTGGACCCATCTCCTTGGCCCTCTTCTTTGTTTTTAAAACACTGTTTGGCAAGTAACACTGCAAAGGAAAATTGAAGCTGGTACATTTTTTACCCTGCTATTGATGAGACTGTTTTTAGACCTACATACTCAAATACCAATCTATTTCCCATCTCATCATGAACAGGAACACTATATCAGAGGACTGAGACCTGGAAATGTGGCCCAGCACAGGCCTTCACTCCCAGGACTCAGTGGGGCAAAGGCAGGACGATCTCTGTGAGTTCCATGCCAGTCAGAGATACATAATGAGACCCTGTCTCAAAAAAATGAAAAAAAGCCAGGCATGGTAGCACATGTCTATAATCCCAGCACTCAGGAGGCAGAGGTGGACAGATCTGAGGTCAAGGCTAGCTTGGTCTCCATAGCAAGTCCCAGGATAACTGGGACTACAGGGAGATCCTATCTCAAAAAACAAACTAAAAATAAATAAAAACAGACAAGAAGAAGAAGCAGTAAAACAATTCTTTCTTCATGACCTCTTCTTTGCCCAGTAATTCCAGATATTCAGAAGGAAATAACAGCTTGAAATAATTCAGTGAAAACCATTTATTGCAGCTTTCAGCCATAGATCTTCTTTCTTAAAAGGCAACGTAAACAATAGGAAATTAGAAATGTTCTAATGGCTACAAAAGGCTGAGAACCCAACAGCCCTTGTGTGCAGGCAGAGACCTTAAACAGTCTAAGGAAATTTTTGCTCCAACAGTCACAAAGAGACATAGTGAGTGTCTATCAAAAGGTTCCGAGGATAGAAAACATTGTAAAATGTTAAGTTACTGCATTTCCATCACAGAGACACCAGAGCAATCACAATTGAACTGGGCATCAAAGGCCAGTCACTTAAAGGTTCACTTTGTGGAAAAGGTTGACCAAAGGAATATAGTAAAGTTACAAAGTCTTTCTACTGATGCCTGGCCCCCAAATGACTGAGGGCAAAGCCTCAGCAACAATCTCAAACCTGTGTCATATTGTTACACTCTGCTGCTTAGACTCAATGAACTGAGTCCCACTTTTCAGGCTCAGCATCTCCTGTCTCAGCAACAAGTGAAGACTTGACTAAAATCAAGGCCATTCTGGGAAACCAGGAGAGAGTCTGAGGTGTGGCTCAATGGTAGACCACCTGCCTAGAATCCTCCAGTGAGGAGCTGGGGGTGTGACTCAGTGGTAAAGCATCTGCCTAGAATCCTCCAGTGAGGGGGTGGGGGTGTGGCTCAGTGGTAGAGCACCTAGTTAGCATCTGTAAAGCCCTGGGTTCTATCCCCAGCACCACAAAATGAAACAAAACAAAACAAAGCAGGAAGCTTTCCCTTTGAAGGTTTGTCTGGACAAAACAGTAAGATGACATCTCAAAATAAGAAGTCAGATCCCCTGGGGTTGGAGTTATGGACAGTTGTCAGCTGCCCAATATAGAAGCCTGCTGAAAAAACTGAAATAAGTCTGTTCCCAAAAAACTGAACTCAGACCACAAGGGACCCCCAGCTTGTGCAAGCTCAAAAGTGCTTTCACTGCCCTCCTGAGAGTCTTTATTGGAAGCTCAGCATCTGAAGTTCACACAGAGTTTACATATGATACGTGCTCAAGCAGCGCAAACACACAGGAATTTTCCCATCATGTAGTTAAAAAAATAGCACACTGCCCAAGGCCTTTGAGACTGGCCCAGTAACAGGCCTCCTTTGATGTGTGCAGAGACAGAGGAGGGGCAGACAACTTGTCCCTGGCATTCCAGAAACAGCTGTCTTATAGGTCTGCTCCCAGCATCCTGGGGGAAGACTCGCCTCTCCTCAAGCCTCTGATCAACAAAAGCTGAAGAAGACTGTTAAGTCTTAGTGAGCCAAGGGCCAGGAGCCTGTTAACTATTAGTGAAAAAAGTGCTACTGTCCTTAAGGGACAAGGGGGGGTGGCAAACTCAGGTCCTTTGTGAGCAGCAAAGCACTCTTTAACCGCTGAGCCATCTCTCTAGCCCCAGATATTGAATTTGACATTCTGAGCTTGAGTTACTTATGAATTTACACACTTGGTTCTAGAACTTACAGGAAATTAAGTTTATACTTAAGTATACATCATCTGCTGACATTCGTGTACATTTGCGACATGCTGCCACCCAGCACACTGTACTAACTTTGGGTGATCCTCTCTTTAAACAAATGATGGACAGATGACATGAAATGGACACAGAGCCAACACACTCAGGAGGAATCTGGTAAATCTCTACCAAGTGGGAAATGTTCCTTGCTCCCCAGAAGAGGAAGTCCAAAAAACTGAAGAGTTTCTAGGTCAATGAGATGGCTCAGTGGGTAAAAGCACTCAGTGTAGCGAGTTCAAACCCCAGAACCCACATTAGAAATCTAGATGCAGAGGCATGAATCTGAAACCCCAGAACTTCTAGAGACACAGGGAGTAGAGCCAGCAGACTCACCAAGCTGGTGGGCCAGATAGCTGGAGCACTCAATGGCAGGCACATAAGAGAGAACTTTCCTCAACAAGGTGAAGGAAAAAATCGACTCCGAACAGTTGTCCTTAACCTTCACATTGCATAACGGCACATGCACATGACCCCTCCCCAATAATAAATATATAATTTTTTGAAAAAACGAAAATTTGGGGCTGGAGAGATGACCTGGTGGTTAAGAGCACGTACTGCTTCTCAGCACCCAGGCCGAGCGACTCAGGACCACCTGTACCTCCAGCTCAAGGGGATCTGGCCTCCACAGGTACTGCACTTGTGTAAGTACATACACACACACACACGCACACACACAAATACACACAATTAAAAATGAATCTTTAGAAAAAACTGAAGATTTAGTACATCTGTATTTTAAAGAGAAAAGAAACAAACATACTTATCTGTTAATTTTCCCTCTTGATTTACTTATTTTTAGGATGTTGTAATTTTTACCTTTGTAGCCAAGGCTTTTAAACTATCTAAGAACCGCTGCCAGAAATCCTTGAAGAGCGGGCGGTCGATCTTCCTCAGACTGTCTTTGGTGCTGGCGTCCACACTGATATACAGCTGAGTGACTGGTATGAGGTTCCTTGGTAATTAAAAAAGAAAAGAAACAGAAAATTATGCCTGTATCATGCTTTTCATGACATAAAGTTTCCTATCTGTGAGAGGTGACTGAACATTTCACTGGGTCTAGAAGCTTGTACTTTGACCACACGTTCAAAGTACTTTTTTTTTTTTTTTTCCTTTCCGGCAAAGCTAGGAATGGAAGCCAGGGCCTTGTGTATGCTAGGCAAGCATTCAACCATTGAGCATCATCCTCAATCAGCAGAAGCAGCATTAGCAGCAGCATCACCATCATCATCACTATTTTATAAGCTGGGAATGGATCTCAGGGCCTTGTTCATGCTAGGCAAGAGCTCTGCCTCTGAGCCACACCCTCGGTCACCATCATCAACATAACCATCATCATCATCACCATCATCGTTATCATCATTCTGTGGTGCTGGGGATAGTACCTACAGCCTTGCATATGCTAGGCAGGTACCACTAAGTGACACCCCCTCTCAACCATTATTGTTACTATTATTATTTTGTGGTACTAGGGATGGAAGCCAGGGTTTTGCACATGCTAGACAAGCACTCTACCACTGAGCTACATCCCCAGCCATCACTATCATCATTACCACCACCATCACCACCACCACCAAGACCATCACCATCATCATCACTGTTTTGTGATATGTTAAGCAAGCATTTTACCACTGAGTTACAGCCCCAACCCACAATGAATTTATAATGTCACACAATGGGATGGCTCTAGCTAATTTTTAAATGCCTTACCACCAAGTCTGTAATAAACCCGAAACATTATTTGAAACAAGTCCCTCCCTCTTCAAATACTAGGTTTTAACGGAAAATAAACAAGATGCAATCTAACTTGAAACCTGGAGCCATGGTCCAGCACAGTTAAACAGGTTTAAAACTTAACTTTCCTCAAGAGCTCTGCCACCCAGACAGGAGAGGTTTGGAACCTCATAACTGTGTGGCGTCTGGGGCAAGGGCTACCTTCATTCCTTCACTGAAGGAATCTCCAAAGAAGCTGGAAGCAGCAGCCATGTCGCACGCCATAACTAAAGGGTTCAGAGCGACACCCAGGCTTCCAGAGAAGGATTGGATTTAAGTCAAACCTCTCCTAGGTAAAGGATAATGGGCCTTCTTCTGGCCTCTGCAGGTACTATACTCACGTGATGCACATACACACACAAATTAGCTATGTCATAATTCCTATGTCTGAGAACCCCATACCACTGCCTAGAACGATGGATGGGGTCATTATTTGGGGAAAACAACCTTAAGCCCAATGTGAAAATTTCAATGATTTCACCCTTCATTCTAATTTTAAATTTCTGAGTAAAACATTATCATAGGGGGCTGGAGAGATGGCTCAGCAGTTAAAGAGCATGGGCTGCTCTTCCAAAGGACCCAGGTTCAATTCCCCACACCCACATGATGGCTAACAACCATCCATAACTCCAGTTCAAAGGAATCCAATGCCCTCTTACATACACACCGGCAAAGCACTCATACACATAAATAAAAATAAAAAATTAAACAAAAAACATTTTTTGTTTAATGTTTTAAACAAAACAAGCAAGATAGCTCATAAAAGCACTTGCACCAAGCCTGATGACCTGAGTGCAATCCCCAGGACCCACATGGTGGGAGAGAATCAAGTCCTACAAGTTGTCCTCTGACCTCCACACATGCATCATGCCCTCCCCCACGCATACAATTAATTAAAATGCAATGTTTTTAAAAGAGTGCTCATATAAATAAAAGCAGGTTATGGAGGCATATGTCTGTCATCCCAGCACTCAGGACACAGAGGAAGGAAAACTTCAGGGGGCCAGTCTGGGCTACATAGTGAGTTCCAGGCCAGAAGTCTGAAGAGCAGGGCCAGGTCTACCTCCCACAGATCAGCATCTGCCTGGAACAAGGAAACAAACCTTTCTGAGTGTACTGACACTCAGCTTCTCACTGGGTTGAAGAACTGGGAAGCTCACCTGATTTCCTCAGGAAATTGTGCATTGGTGACCAGGAAAGTGGAAATTCCACGATGATGGAGGAGCGTCAACAGCTTGTTGATCTCTGGGTACATTATTGGTTCTCCCACAAGCGACAGCGCACAGTGTTTGACCTCTAATCCCTCTTCAAAGCGCTCCGCCTTGACCCCTGGCACTCCTGAGAGCACAGTGAAGAACTTGGAGTAAGGCACAGAGGGCATTGATGACATTTTTCTTCATAATTCTTTTATTTTAGAGGAGAAATTCTGTTTGTTGTTTCTTAAACAGGGTCTCACTATGTTCCCCAAGGTGGTCTGGAACTCAGTATCCTCCTGTCTCAGTGCTGGGATTACAGGCATGAGCCACCACACCCACCTTGAAACTTTTTTTAAGAAATGACTATGGGGGCTGGAGAGACGGCTCAGTGGGTTTGCATGCACTTGCTACGCAAACATGAGGACCTGGGTTCTAATCTCAACACTCAGGTAAAAAGCTGGTGTGGCCATGCAAACACCAGTAACACTCAGCACTAAAGGGGGTGGAGATAGGAGGACCACTGGGATTTGCTGGCTACCAGCCTAGCTCCAGGTTCAGTGAGAGACCCTGTCTCAAGGGAATCAGCATGGAGAGTGATAGAGTAGGACACCCAATGTCCTCCTCTGGCCTCCACATATTAATGTACTAATGTCACCCCCAACAACAATAACAAAGACCATAACCATGTACTTGGAAATATAAAAATGCAAGTGAATACACCCAAGAGCTACCTACCACGAAGCAAGTTAAAAATCTCAAAGTGATGGATGACATCTTTTTTGTGTGACTGTCTAACTGACATTCCAAGTGTGATCAGTATTTTTGGGTGAATCATTTCTTGCGTTATTGAAATCTAAGATTTAACTCAAGTGAATCAAGGTTTTAAATAAAACTTGATCCTTAAACTCAGTCTGTGTTGCCAAGACAACCCAGCATTCAGCCTAAGATTGCTTGGGTAACTTTAAATTCCCTATAAGCAGCAGAAGGAAAGGGCAGGGCAGGTTTACTCTGAACTGCAAAATTAACCCCCAACTCTGATTGTGGGACAGTGAAGCATTGGTTAGAACATGCAAGGGGGATCAGAGGCACTGGGTTCAAATTCTAACTCTACCAAGAGGCCAGTTTGATGTCATTGGTCAAGGCTCTTGCCTTCTGTTCCCCTAATACTTAACATGGGGGGTGGGGGTGGGGTGGAGTTAGAGTGCTTGTCCAGCAGGCACGTCATGTTCCTGAACACTTGTAATCTGTTAGCTAGGGCCCCACCATTTTGTAAACCTCCTCCATTTTGGCTAACTATTACAATTCCCATTAACTATGGTTATTTGTTTTCCAGAACTAAAGTAATATGCTTCTCTAGATTCTTGCTTTCCCTACTCTGTGGACCCCAGTAATGGCTGACCAGGAAAGATGTTTTGTGGATTACCTGACCTTTTTTTTTTTAATTATTTTTAATTATTTTTTTTTTTGTGTATGAGTGTCTTGCCAATGTATGTAATTGCGCCACATGCGTGCAAAAGAGAGTGTTGGATCCCTGGAGCTGGAGTTATAGACAGTTGTTAGCTGCCATGTGGGTGCTGGGAATCAAACATGGGTCCTCTGGAAGAATAGCAAGTGTTCTTAACCACTGAGCCATTTCCCCAGTCCCCTACTTTGACTATTCATTGGTTACCCCAGCAACAGACAACTGCCAGTCAAAAATGGAAACTTCAAAGTCTGCTTCCCATCTACTCCTCACTTCCTGTAAAAACTATAAGGGACCTCCCACTCTGTCACATGGGCTTGAACTGTCCTCAGAGTCCCACCATGCTGCTGTCTATGTCTGTCTTTGGTGTTAATAATTCTAATAAATGCCTTACTCCCAGTCTCCCCCTTGTACTCGAAACCCAAAACCTTTCATTCTCCTAGCAGTCAGGAGGTAGAGGCAGAAGTTCAAGGTTATCCTTGGCTACACAGCAACTTTGAAGTCAGTTTGAGCTACATGAGACCTTGACTGAAAAACAAAACAAAACAAAACAAAAAAGGAGCCATGTTGGGGACATGGAGCAAGGTGGTGACAGTTTGACAGCTGAAGGGGTGGGGACACAGCTGGTGAGAAGCAGCACCCCTGAGTCTCTTCAGAAGCTGTCAATAGTAAGGTTTTCTACTGATTGAAAATGGACATGGGAGGCCTGCACAGGACTAGTTCTGAGTGTTTAACCTGAGCAGCTGAGCTTCCACAGAGATAAAATTAACATTAACTAACTAATTACCAAGAAGCCTCAGGCAAATACCATGGGGAGAGAAAGTGTACCCATTACGTTCAATTTCAAACACATGGAGGCTTATACCTCTATCAGCTGAATGTATAAGTAATGTTCAAATTTGGGTTTGTGGGGCTGTAGAGGTGGCTCAGTAGTTAAGAGTATTTGCTGCTCTTGCAGAGGACTCAAGTTTGGTTCCCAGCATCCATGTCAGGCAGCTCACAAGCACCTGTAACGCCAGCTTCAGGGCATCTGACACTACCTTCTGGCCTCTGTGGGCACTCACACTAACAAGCGCATACAGACACAGACACACACATACACACACGCACACATGCATGCACGCATGGATGCTCGTGCTCTAAAATAAAAAATTTTAAATGGGGTTCAATAAGAGAAGATCTGGTAGAAAGTTCTAGCTCCTCACCCAGGAGCTGAGAAAGATCATTAAGGCTGAAACATTCTAAGCAGGAGAGAAGGCATTCTAAGCAGACACTATAATACCTCCCTTACACTACTATACCCTCTTGCAGGGATGAAGATGTTCGAATTTAGGTAGACACTAGTGCCTTTCCTTTCGCCTACTAGAATTAGTAAAACAATGGTCTCCAAGAAATTAGCATTTCTCTAGGAGTCTCATGTTAGAAGGAAGAGGCTGGAGCCTGGTGCAGCCAGAGGGGGAGCTTGTCTCCCAGGAAGAGATCTCTCACAGTTTTGATACCTTGTCAGACCACCTTGCAAGAGACTGGAGCTGAGACAGTGATGGTCACTGATGGGCAAGACCACACCTTGACCAGGACTGCTTAGCCATGCAGACCTCTTGCTCTCTGTTTAAACCTTAAACCATGTCAGGACCTGAAGATGGAGATGATCTTAAGTGAATAAAGCCTGTCTCAGAAGGACAGAGAGCTTAAGTTTTCTCTCGTGTTTTTTGAAAAGACCACAAAGGACTTCAAAGGTCACTGGACCTTTTGGTTCCTCTTCTCAATGTCACCACTGAATAACTCTCCCCTCTGCTTTTCACTATGATTTGCCTACTTACTTTGCTTATTTAGGATGAGTAGCTGAGCCATTTATTAGAGCTGTCAGAGGCCAGACTGAGTAAACCCTAAAACTTCCAGTGACAAAACAGGACTAAGAGTATGGCTCAGTGGTAGAACATCTGCCTAGAATCCCCTAGTGAGGGGATGGGGCATAGATCTGTGGTAGAGTTGAGGCTCCAAGTCCAATTCCCAACACTGCAAAAATAAATTTTAAAATAAAGCCTTTGAAAAAAAAACAGATTTAAAGCATATCCTAATTCTGTCAAGGGTGCTACGTGTGGAGATGTAAAACCTCAGCTCTCTTCCTTCTTTCCTACTCATTGCCAGAGGCTACAGCAGTAGCTCAGCCCAAAGCAAGGCCTCCAGAGCTCAACCTCCTGTCAGAAGGAAAAATTTGCTGTTCTCAGAGAACCCTGTGAGGGAACAAAGGCCCCAGAATTTCTAATCTAAAGGAGACCTGAAGAAGGGAAAGAAATACCAGACAACAGCAGACTCACACTCTCTCTCTCTCTCTCTCTCTCACACACACACACACACACACACACACGCAAACATGCCCACTCTCACACACACACACGCATGCGTGCACACACACATACCTCCATAAACACAAACAAAAGCATACAATCCAGTTTCCCAGGCTGTAGCCATTTCCAGTTCTAGCTTAGTTGTTGTTAACCAACTTCTCTCCTATTTCCCTCATCCCGAGAAGCCTCCCAGTCCCAAATCATAATAGCTATGGGCATAAGATGAACTAAGAAGCAAACTTTATCCATGGAAAGATGCCAAAGCAAGAAGGTAGGATGTGGGGTTACGGCAGAAAACCAAGTAACATACAAGTGTGGTATACTGTCCGGCATATAGTATTTAATTTGTTTTCTCCTTTTTTAAAATTTGAGACAGGGTCTTACTATGTAGGCCAATCTGACCTCAAACTCACCATGCAGCCTAGGATGGTCTGGAACCCTCAGGTGTCCTGCCTCAAATTCCTGAGGACTGGGACTACAGGTGAGCTTCATGATGCCTGGCTCAAGTATCATTTCTAAAGTTTGGGCTAATCAGAAATGAAATTTTCTCTTCTTCCTTTTCATAATAATACAGCTCCTGGCCACAGATCTTACACAGAGCTGTACCTAGCTGAAAGTCAATACAGGGTTTGATGGAGATGCTTTACAATATCAGGTGTTTGTGTGTTGATGCAAGTGGATGTACATGGGCATAGAGAAGCAGACCACCTCAGGTGCTGGTCCTACGGCACTGTCTACCTTGTTGAGACAGGGTCTCTCACTGGACTGTAGCTCATCCAGTAAGCTGGACTGGCTAGTCAGGGAGCTGCAGGGATCCACCTGCCTCTACCTCCCCAGCCCTGGGATTCTATGCATGTGCCACCATGCCCAGCTTTCTTATGTGGGTTACACAGCAAGCACTTTATTTACTGAGTCATCTTCCCAGCTCCAACAATGTCAGAATTGGCTTTTTCTTTTTTTATTTATTATTTTATGTGTATGAATGTTTTGCCTGCATGTATGTGCACCCGTGACTTCAAGTGCACCTGTGTTGTGCAATGCTCGAAGAGGTCAGAAGAGGGCACTGAAGCCCTTGGAACTGGAGTTACAGATGGTTGTTAGCTGCATGTGGGTCCTGGGAATCAAACCCAGGTCCTCTGCAAGAGTAGTCAGTGCTCTTAACACTGAGCCATCTCTCCAGCCTGCTTTTTCTTTTTTTAATAAATAAATTTCAGAAAACAACCTGCAGGTGTTCCCTGGGCTCCATGCTTCCTTGTGATGTGGGCTGCAATATGCCTGTTTTGTAACACCATCTGCTGGAGACCCTTGGATATTTGCTCTAAGTCCAAACTC